GGCACCATGCGAGGGTTTTCGGAGTGCCGGTGCGGCGCCCCAGGGCAACCGGCGACGGAAGTAGCAACGACATTTTTTTCTGGGACGTGCCGTTGCAGGGCACCCCCGGAATTCAAAATCCTGGGGTTCGCGTGGGAGGTGTTCGTGGATATCCAGTGTTCCTGCTGTGTTGTGGTGCGGGTGCGGCCATCGCTTTGAGCTCTGTCGGTGGACATGTTGGAGGTTGTAGAGGACGGAGGCCATGGAGGAGTCAGGATGTGGGATGAATAGTCAGGAAACCGAGGATGCGATGTGCATCCTGCTTTTCGTCCTCTTCCAGTGGGTGAACAGACGAAACGTGGCAGCGTTGGCAGTTGTGGAGGCGGTATCGTTGATGCCTTTTGTCCACCAAAATGTCTCCGCTGCGGTTACACTGCTGGCGGGGGGGGCTGCTGCACCGTTTTGCTCTATGTTCGTTGGAGGTGGAGGAGACGGGGAGGACCATGGACAGAAGACGTCGTCTGTGGGTGTTGGAGCGTAGCGGCAGTCTTTGGAAGGATCTCCAGCGAGTAGGAGCTGAGCATGACAAGGTTTTCCTTCGGTTCTACAGACTCCCACGGCCCCTGTTCTTCGAATTTCTTGCTCGCGTCAGCCCCCATATCCAGCGGTCGCCCACGAACTACAGATTGCCAATACCCACCGGACAAAAGTTTGCATGCGCTCTGATGAGATGGGCTACTGGCGGTTACTACAGGCAGTCCTCCCACAGTTTGGGCATCGGCCTCGCAAGTGCTTTGCGCAGCAACGAGGAAGTGTGTGATACGCAACCTCACGCCCCCTCGCGGCTTCCCGTACGGGGTCGCCGATCAGAGTTCTAAGAGGGGCGTGACCGAGGATTTTTGGCCGTAAGGGTTGAGTCTCCCGGATGGAACGGGAGACCCTCGTTTCGTGCCAGAGGTTTTCCCCGAAGCCGAACTGTCGTCGCGGAGTCCCGTGGGGGTCGGATCACTCCGAAACGATAAAATAAAAAAGGTTTCCGCAAAAGTGAACTGCCGTCATGCATCGGGACGGAAAAAGGCATCAAGGGGAGAGGGTCATGGCGGCGGAAGACAAAACTTCGGCCGTCAGGGGTTTGGGGGATAGGAGGTGGGTTAGAAGCCTTCAGGCCTCATCATTGACCTCACAAAGTGGCCGAACCCTCGGGTCTTTGCTGTGGAGGTGGTTGGTTCGAGGCCTTCAGGCCTCGGCGTTGGACTCACAGAGTCCGCGCGAAAGTTTCCGGGAGGGTAAAGCGGCGGGAGGACTCGCCGGCATCTGAATTCGAAATTGCGCGGGCAGCGCCCCCGCACTAGGGGAAAGCTCGGGGAAACGTGTCGCTCCCTCGTAACCCAGGACCAGCCGCCGCCAAGAACACGAGTCCCCCTGGCGACACCAGCGACAATCAAACTGCGGCTGCCACGCGGCGTGAGCGGCCGACCAGGGCAACACCGCCAAACCCGTATAAGGCAATATTAATGTCGGGGAATCAAACCGATCAATCAGAACAAACCCGTTCCCCCTTATCTCACAAGCTCGAGGCGGGTCTTGCCAACACACTTGCTCCGTCCGCGTCAGCGCGTGCCGTACGTCCGCATCGCAATAGACGTTGTCGTCATCTGCGATGGGGAAGGTCGGTAGCGAGATGAGACGATCGGAGGTACATGATGAACACGGGCAAGGTCCCGCGTTCCCGGTCATCTGAACCAACACCGAATCCATACAACAGTCGTCGCAACTCTTCTCTCTTTAAGGTGGGTGCGTCGAGGGAAGATGACAAAGTCTAAACTCTCTTCCCTTGCGGGGGCGTCGACCGTCCGCGCGGGCACAAGCGGTTGACGTCACAGGTACGGGGGCGAGAAGCTCCAAAAGCGAGGACTATCAGTTCAAAAAGGAAAGCAATCGAGAGAGAGAGAGAGAGAGAGAGA